AGGCTTTCTCTTTCTCTGCTTTGTCATGCAGGGCTCTGTTTTGATTGTGAGTTGGTTTGAGGGTCTGACAGGTAATAAGAGAATACGTACATAAATACAGACATACTTTTACCTATGGGGAGTTTCAGCTTCTTCCGGAGGGAAATTCTGCGGGACCGTGAGCGGGCACGTCGGTCGGAGGTGGTGCCTGAATGGGCAGTGGTACATTCTGAAGTGTCCGGCTCAGACTGGCTGCTGGTGTCACTTGCTGCACTCTGGGATTTGAACATCTTGCGCCAGAAATCTTTCCGCCCCAAGTTGGCCCCTTGCATTTGCTCATCACTGTAAGCAAGCGAGGGTAGGGTTAATTGTCCAATAACACACTTGAAATTCTCCTAAATTTCTTTTAACCTCTTGCCTATGATATTTAGGCAATCGTGCAGAATGACCTTTGATGGGCTGGATGTGGGAAAGGAGGGCATGGGAGCTGAAGGAAAGAGGCCAAGCAAACTCTCTGAGTTCTTGAAAACAGCCATGTCTCAGCTGTCAAACTAACACGGTCATTCTTTCCAACTGTAATACGAAGATGAAATATCATCGCAGGTATTCACTTGCAAGTGTGAACCATAATCGCAGAGTCACTTAAAATGTCCGTAAATATTTAGCCTTTTAGAAAATATTAACTCCCTTGAACTTGTGCAGTAGTGTTCCTCGCCATCTACTCCTCACCCCACTGTAATATCATACCTGAACACGAAATAAACTCACCAACTTTATTTGAATGAAGAAATGAATGAATGAATGAATGAATGAAATGCCATCACCATACCCACGAAACGCATCATTTTACAACAAATAAATCAGAGCAACTTCAATGAGGTTTAAAAATTAAAAATAAGTACAACTTCATAGGACAAATAGGATCACCTTCAAGGGGGTTTTTGACCAGGGTATTCCACGAGAGGAAGAAGGCAAGTGGCCAATAATACGCAGAGTTTAATCTCACCAGGAATTTTCAAAAAGCAACCTGAAATATTTATTTTTGCTCAACAAATTGGCAAAGATTAAGGGGGAGAGAGAGAAAGCAATAATTACTATTGTACTGCCAATGGTGAGAATGATTCAACCTCTCTTGAAGGTAATTTGGTAATACATTATTCAAAGTTTATATCAACATTCTTGACAGAGAAATTCAATTTTCAGGAGGTATTCTCAAAGAAATATGGAGCATATACTAAGATGTAGATACAAGAAGTTCAAATATTCACAGAATTATTCTTGTCAACATTAAGTAAAAGCAACCTGAATGTTCAACACCAGAGAAACAGTTGAATAAATTATGGGATTTCCATATGGTGATATACTCTTTAGTCATTAAAAATCTTATTTTAGAAGACTATCGGTATGAAAAAATGTTCATTATACCTTGTAAAGTTAAAAGGCAGTGATCAGGTGAATTCACTAGAATAACACCATGCTAATTTTTTTTTAAGTACACTGCACTCCAGCCCAGGTGGCAGAGTACACCCTCATCTCTTAAAATAAATTAGCAAATAAGTACACATGAGTATACGTCTGAGTGTGGGTTTATATGTACACATGCTCAAAATAATACACCAAGGGTTATAGAGGTTATCTCTAGTTGGTGGTATTTTAGTTCTAAAATTACTCTTTAAAAATGTTTTCTGTGTTTCCCACATTTGTCAGCTTGAGCAGCATATATACTACTTTAGTAATCTGGAATTACAAAGTTATTAAAAATGTTCTAACAACATGTGATAAAATGTATTTATGGGGTTTTAGATAGTGATTTGCTTACAAGCTTTGGGGCTGAATCCTAAATTGATCCCAAATTCAACAGTACTGCATAAAACCATTATTTTTTGGAGATATTTATAAGGGAGTCCAGTTTTATCTCTCAAAATCTCATCAGTTTACTAAATTATTTTAAATTCTTATTCTAAAATAGGATATTCTGTTAAACAAATATGGCATAGCTTTGACTTCTCGTTAAATGATCATAGGGTATGAAGCATTTCCCATTTTGGAGGGAGGCGTGACACAATGATGACTGTATGACTATATGGTCTGAGTGAGAACTCATCCAGGGAGGCTACACTTTACGTTTTCTTAATAAAATGTTAGATCAGCTTTGGCCAATGGGTGTGTACCAATAATGAGTTTCAGAGAAATGAGCATACAAAACCATTTTAATATGACTCAGTTAGTGTAGCTATTATTGAGGAAGAAAAAGAAGAAGCGACAGGCAAGAGGAGAGGGAGGGGAAAAGAAAGAGAAGGTACAGAAAGATCCAGGAACAACCAAAGTGGTCACCCACCTTTCTCCAGTGCCAAAACAAAACATTTGACAAGCTCACCTCCTGGGCCCATTTAGATCATAGAAAAGTCCCATATTTGACATTTTATGTCATTCCCTCCAAATGGAAATATTTATATAGAAGTATATTAAAACATATATCTTCATGCAAGAAGAAAGACCAGATATGCTAAATGCTGAGAAGTGACATGATGTTTATAGAACAATGAACAAAGAGAATATTTTGGAATCTAGAAAACTTAATCACAGTAGATGGTTTTATTTTTTAAATCCAATGCACCTTTAAGATCATTCTTATTGACCAGATTAGCTCAATTGTTGCTGTTGTTATTTGGAAAGAAAAACTCTCCTTTTGGGGAATACTTTATGTCTATAAAGCCTTTTAATTAGTCTTATAGCTATTGAGCCACAGAAAGTTGTCTTCCACATTTAACTGCTTTTTTTCTTTAGAGCTTTTTTTTTTGGATTTTTATCAAGTCCTTAAAGGCTGTTTTAAAAGAAAAATAAAATTCAATTTTGAAGAAGGAAGTTAGATAAAACAAAAGCTGATAATTGTATCCTTTCATTGATTGAGTCAGTGATTCATTCATTCATAAAATATATATTAAGTACCTACCGTGGGCCAAGCCTGTTAAATTGGAACAATAACTCCCATGTCCTAGAACCCATGGAGTTGATCTACCTTTTCCCTTACCTTTCTCTATCCATTTAAAGGCAGTTGCTAAGATTTTGAAGTGCTACAAGAACTGTGTGGGCTTTTGTTCTTTGAAGATTTTTTTTTGCTTTCTATGGGTTACAAAGGCCCTTTGCTTCTCAGCTTTGATTTTCCCAATTATAAAGAAAGGATGCCATAATACCTAGAATACGCCACAGAATTTCTGGAAGAACAATCACTTAATATTGAATAAGTGTTTTGGGAAGCAGAATAGTGTACCTACAATGATGTGCATGATCACTCCACACAGAGAGCTATGTGGGTTAATAGTTCTCATACAGAGAAAATTTACAAAGGAGACTTGCACAGAACTGAGCTGTATATTCAGTGTCTACAGTAACACTTACATTTTCCATGGATGTTAATTTAAAGACGCCTTTGATTTTTGCCATTATGAAAAGTAGAAGATGAACTTCACAGCAACTTGGATGGACTTAGAGTCTATATTACTGAGTGATATACCACAGAAACAAAGAACCGAGTATCACATGTTGTCACCCATAAGTGGACCCTGAACAACTATTGTAATACTATAAGAAAGGGATTGGCAGTAGTGGGAAACTGCCGGGGGGGGGGGGCACACCTCATCAACAAGGGTACCTGCATAATGAACATTGGTATACCTAACCCTGAATTGTACCCACATCTTTAAAATTAAAAATTAAAAAAAAAAGAAAAGAAAAAAAGGAGATGAACTGGTCTCAGAAGACATTGAAATGAATCTCAGGACAGCACCAAGGCACAATGGAGTAAAGTCTATGTTTCAGCGAAAGCTGAGCACTGAGGAATTTATATTAGTTCTCTTTAGAAAAGCTTCATTCAGTACACTGACAGCCATTCATGCATTTATATCTTAAAAAATTCTAAGTGATTTTAAGTAAGAAAATAGACAATACCCCCAGCCCTCCTGGTATATATGCAATTCTTTAAGATTTATCTGTGGGCAGTGTGCACAAAAAACAGAAGCGAGGAAGAGACTGGAGATGGGAGTGCAGTTCGGGAGGATTCCTGTGGGCACAGGTGGGTTATTTGTCATCTGGTCTGGAGAGATTAGTGGCATCGGGAATGAAATACAATAGGCCGAAGAAAGGCAAAGTTCAAAGGAAATGGAAAACAGACAGATAAATAACAAATGGCAGTTCGGAAAACAGAAATTCCTCCAGTGTGAGGTGCTCAGCCCTCTGCTTTGGAGGGAAATTTAAGGCTACTTACTGCTCGGGAGTCTGTGAGGGGCGGCCAGACATGAAGCTGCGACACTCCTCGGGTGCAGAGGACACCTGGCTTTTATCCACAACGCTTCCCGCCTCAGACCTATGCAAATAGTGCATTCCTCCAATCACAACAGAGCAGGACACCAACTCTTGATACTTTGTGCACATTCTAAAGCACAACTCTCTTACAGTCAGTGGAGCTTGCAAACTTTATGTCACCATGAGTCTATAATGTATGGAATTTATACTCTACCATTTAAGCCATGACTTAGCCACCTTATTCCTTAACAGTGCCATCCTAATTGCAAACGGAGTCATGAACTGACCATTAGGAGTTTCTTGTAATCTTTGTAAATGGCATTTAGCGTATACTAAGCATAAAACAAGCATGAGTTTACTCGAAGGAAAAACTACTGATCAACAACTTGTCTTCTGCCAAATTTAGAATATAACTTACTGAACAGGATGATATGGTATCAGTCATTGCTTTTCCTCTCTAGATAAAAATGTAAATTATATATAGACGAGATTAAAATACAGATAACATTTTACCATATAATTAAGACCTATGAAGTCAAGCTCAAGTACACGAAGCATGGGAATAACTAAGCTCTGATTCATACAGAGGCAGCATTTATTTGTTTTCTAAGCTCTAGCTGGACCACACCAGTGTTATGACTTCTACCCGAAAGTTTTATCATTCCTACGCTGAAGTCATACCATGCCAGGAACCACGTGGATAGTACCACAGAAGATAGTATTCTACTGACAGAAGGCAAACGCTAATATTTAGGGAGCTCAAGTTTCCAACCTTTTACTGCCTGGAGGCTTAGATTCCTGTTCATTCTCCTCCACCTTTTTCCCTGGTGCTACCTTCTCGGCACTGTCAAGCAAAGCACTGAGAGCCACTCTCCTGAAGACATTCCCATGAGCCTCTTTGATAAATTGGACCAGCTGACGAATATCACAATACAGTCCCTGTTGGGAGGCAAGAAAGAAGTTTGGGGAAAGAAAAATATCTGGGCCGTTAAACAGTTTTCGCAGGAAGAGAGGAAGAAAGTAATTCCACAGGCTTAGATGAACACTGAAATAAAAGAAAGACAGTTTGCAATTGAAAATCGAGAGTGTACTCCCCCTACTCCCACTGCTCCTAAAGAAGAACGCCCCCAAAGCCCTTGCTGGCCATCCTTAGTATGAAAAAGGATGGTTATATGATTTATGTTCAGAAAGTGTGCTGCATCATTAGAAAGACAAAAATTTACATTTTTAACCATTGGATTCCCAAACTTTCATTTTCTCTCTTGTGATTTCTGAAGAGATGCCTGCAAAATAAAAAGAGCAGTGAGAACTCTGTTTAGACTAGAACGTGTAGTCCCTGTTCAGCTTCTCCAAATTTTTGTATCATTGTGACGCAATAGCTTGAGTCCTTTAGGCACGTCTAACAAAGTCTGATTTCTCAAGGGATGATGCATTTTGCTGGACAGACTTAACAAATTGTATGTACGTTGTAGCCCATTTAAACACGAACTTGACTATGAACTCAAGGCCGTGTACAGCTATTTAAAAAAATATATTGGTGAGTCAATGTTTAAAAATCCATGCAAGACATTTTTTTTTTTTTTGAGAAAGAAGGTTTGCATCCAGTATTTTCTCCTTTCTTGTCCCTCTTTAAGAGAACAGTTACTGTATTCTTTGCTGCAGGAAAAGTCCATAGCAAGGCAGAATGCACAAGCCTAAGGAATGTTTACCTTGACAGCTTTCGTTTTCAAACCCAAGAGCCCTGGGACAATCATGCCCATGATCTTTAGGGGAGTAGGAGGAAGGGCCCTTGGGAAAAACAGGCAGAGTGCCCTTTGGGTTTCATGGGCAGCAGGGCCCTGTGCCCTTCACTCTGCTCTTTGGATAGATTTTTGCATCCAGTCATAACATCTAACAGACTGGTAGAATAGAGAAATGCTCCTTTGCCTCCCAAGGAGACCTGGGTTTATCTATTCATGTCAGATTTGTCAGCCTTAACCCATATTTTAGTATCCCAAACCACAATCTCTTTGGTAGCAATTAAGCACTAACCTTTTTCAGCCTGGTTCTCCCCCATGCTACTTGTGATTTCGGTGGTTTAATTAAGTCTTTTATGAAGTGTAGCTAAACGATTATAGGGCTCCATAAGAGAAAAGAGCACCAATTTCAGTGGCATATTTGCATTACTTTTTGAAGTAAATAGGGTTTCAAACATTTCTTAATATTATATGAGCCAACAAACTGTGCTCTACCTTTAGAAGGGCTCAAAATGTCTTGCAACTATTTTACCAAACACAGCATAACCTTTGAGATGGAAGTGGAAATCCATTTGCAGATAGGATAATTAGTAACAAGGAGGAGAAGTGCTGTCAAGGCTTCACAGTGGTTTCCTGGTGACATTGGGGAAAGTAGATATTTTAACTTTCAAGTGTACACTTTTAGATTTCAACTTCTCTTCCTCATGGCCATGACATGAGAACTCTTCTCAGAGCAGACACTGAGAACTCCTGTGGGAAGAAGGGAAGAGTTTCTCACCAGATTCTCAGGGCTGTGCAGCTCATGTGTGGTTGAAGCGCAGCGTGTGATGAGGGATTTAAACATGGCACTGACGATAATGCCTTCCACATTTTGGGCTGTGGATTTGTTGTCCACTGTGGTGAAGTTATTTCCAAACCCAGCCTTGTCTGGAATGCAAAGGTACCCATTAAAGACAATGCCTCCTTTAAGCTACACAATTGAAATGAGTAGAACATATTTGGCACCCAGGAATGAGTGAAGGGCTACGTGAAATACAGAAACAGAGATTTAAAGATGCCACTGGTTTAATCATCTCTGTGCAGACTTGGAAATAGATGAATCATACTCACCTTCAGAGTCTCACTATGATAGAACTAGCTGCATTTGTGGAATGTTTCAAGGCAAAGAAAAGAGAACCAACTGTTAATGTTAAGGAAGACTTTTAGAGGCTGTGTGCAGTGGCTCACGTCTATAATTCCAGCACTTTGGGAGGCCGAGGTGAGAAGATTGCCTGAGCCCACGGGTCCGAGACCAGCCTGAGCAACTTGGCGAGACCTCATCTTTACAATAAACCAAAAATTTAGCTGGGCATGATAGCATTTGCCTGTAGTTCCAGCTCCTTGGAAGGCTGAGGCGGAAGGGTCACCTGACCCCAGCAGCTCGAGGCTGCAGTGGCTATGAGTGTGCCAGTGCACTCCAACCTGGATGACGGAGTAAGACTCCAACTCCAAAAAAAAAAGGAAAGACTTTTAGGCTTAGAGTAGTTTTTAAATAGGTGATCACTTTTTAAAAAAATGGTCTACTAAATGACACCTCAATAGAGAAAAAGTTCATTTGATTCCGTCTTGGTGGTGGTAAAGAACGCTGGCTTCTCAGTGAAGTTGTCCCGTCTGTCAGAGCTGGAGCGATGGATGGTCAATGAGCAGGGCAGGGAGAAGGGAGAGGCAGGGGAAGCCCTGCAGGAAAACTTACACAGGCACTGGGCAAAAGTGGAGTCCTGCCAAGAATTGCCGAGTACTCCCAGAAGCCATCTGGGCATGTGGAGAGGGAAACCTCCAGCCTCCCCCAATGCCACCACCTTCTAATTTATCACAAGTGGCATGCCAGTGAACAGAGGCTGCCAACTTCCACAGCATTTGATGCTGGTATTTCACATACCAGTAGATCTTTTGTAGGGGACACACAGCTGTCCTGCACACACAGGCACGTACACATGCACGTGTATTTATCTTTTCCTCTAAATTCTGTCTTCACAGATTTCTTATGCTCCTGAAGCGCTACCTGCTTCACCGCATCAGGATTTCTCCTAGAACTCGGGTGCAGCTCTACTTACTGTCAGTGACTGGCTCCATACAAAATCCAAGCAAAGCATGCAAGAAGTCCACTACATTATTAAGAGAGTCTTTGTTCACATAATCCCTCATGGTTTGTCGAAACTGCATCTTATCTAGCTTGTATAGCTTAGTGAGGCAGTTCTGGGCCTGCAATGAAGGGAGAAAAGTGAAAAAGTCACAAGTACCAGCTTAAGCTACGGACACCGGTAGCCTGAGATAGAAACCTTCAGAAGGCAAGGGCTTCTACCCACCCGCTGCTGGCTGGTGCCAGCCAAGCCCGCTCGCCCCTTTAGTCTGGGGAGGACGTGAGCAGAGACAGACTGAGCTGTCTGAGGGAGTTTACATTAAGAAGAGCTGCTCCCCAGAAAAAACCCCAAGCTAAGATCTAAGGCTGGCCCCAGGAAGAGTTCCATATTTTCACCAAGATCAAGATTTTGAGATCTTAATGAAAAAGATTCGAAGTGTGAAATTTAGGCAGGTGAGAGAATTGGTCATCCATGTTAAGAAACCCTCAAAGGTTTTGTGCAGTGGAAAGAAGCAGGCCACTACATCTGAATAAAAGAGATAAAGGAAAAGTTCATACAATGGAATGAAATGGGGAAATGGCAGAAGTCTCTGGGTTGCGGTAAAAGGGCTGAGGATCAAGAAAGGAGGGGTGACTGGGTGATGGCGACCCCAGTTGTGGATGAAGAAATTTGGACAACCAGGCATAGGCATGGAGGTCAGATTAGGGAAGGAAATCTCTGAGAGCCGGAATCTTATTGGTGTTCTTAATGGTGACCCAGAAGAAAATTTACATTTATCACCGTTTTTTACCAAGCAAGGCCCAAGGAAACATTCTTGGAAATTTTGAGAGAGAAAAAAAAAAAGACGATAAAAGGCTGAAACTTGGAATTAGAATATGCTTCTTGGCATGGCCTTGTGATTACTATAATCTCTCTATCTGTATCACAAAGTCAAATGGATTGACTTTTTTCATTCTTCCTTTATTATGTCTTAGAAAAACTTATTTATTTATTGTAAAGATGTGGGGAGAAGAATTTAAATTAGGTATCTTTGTTCCCAGAGAGTTTACTAGTTGCCAGATCTTGAGCAAGCTCATTTTTTTCTTACAAAACAAGTGCTGCTTGCTAGAAAATGAATTTTCCAACGTACTTAGCTAAAATCTGTTTTGCATAAAGAAGAATTTAATTATCATTCCATAAAGAATTTATGAAGAACTTCACTGTAATATTTACAAAGCAATTTAAAAATCTGAGTTGGGAAGCCCTGAAGTACACATTATTCTGTGTTCTCTTTAAAATACACCAAAAAAGGCATATTTTCAAATCTCTTTAGAGGATATTAAAATGTCTGTATGATCTGTATAAGTTCAATGGGAAGATTAAGCAAGCATAAGAATATCAAACTTATATATTTAAATTCTGAATGAATAGCCTGAAGAGATGTAAAACTGTTAAGGAATGAATTCCTTTTCAATAATTGGTGACTACCAGCAAATGATTAGACTAATACTCTAAGAAGCATTGAGGGATTATATGATAAAATTGCTAGGTATTTGATGAGTGTCATTACAGTAGCCTTCTGTTTTTTGGGAAAAAAATGGTAGAGAGAAACTGATGGGTAAAGGTGAGAGAAATATTCTTAACATCTTAAAAGTGAAGTAACTTCTAAAATTCCACTTGGAACAGGTATTTCTCAGGGAAAAATTCCCAAATCTCTTGGACAATGCTCTTGCTGACTATGAATAAGCAAATATAATATCTATAATAAGCACTGAACAGAACTACACGAAAATAGAGGAATTGCCTCATAAGGCAAGTTGAAAAGGCAAGTAGGAAACTGGCTGAACATCTTCAGAGGAAGTATTGGGGAGTACTCTTGGGGAGAAAAGCACAATGAACTAAGCAATAACTAACAATAGCTTTCAGCCAGCTTGGTGGCTCAGCCTGTAATCCCGCGATTTGGGAGGCTGAGGTGAATGGATTGCCTAAGCCCGCGGGTTTGAGACCCACCTGGGCAACTTGGCCAGACCGCATATCTACAAAAAATCAAAAAAAATTAGCCGGGCGTGGTAGCGTGTGCCTGTAGTTCCAGCTCCTTGGATGGCTGAGGCGAAAGGATCGCTGAGCCCAGCAGGTCGAGGCTGCGGTGGCCGGGAGCGGCCACTGCACTCCAGTCTGGGCGACAGAGTGAGACTCCAACTCAAAAAACAAAACAACAAAACAAAACAAAAATAGCTTTCAAGTGGCTTCTGATCCAATTAGTTCTGCTTTCTGTGATTTCAGAAAGACAGGTTTGGGTTGTCAGAGTCAGTTCATGCCTTCAACTAAAACAAGACACTTTTTATTATGTTTTAGTGTTTCATTTCATGGAATTGGTCTTCTGTAGGGCGAGTGATGTAGTTTTTTTGTCTTGGAAGGCATTCATACAGGGGGTAATCCTCCAAAAAAACTGGAATTATTTTTTGGAGGGCAGGTCCCTCACAGTACACTCAGAATTTGCTCCTCCAGATCAAACGATCAATCAAGGTTTTTACCTGAGAGTTTTGAGAAGGTTGTGCCACCATGTGTGAAGAAACATCCTGAGTTGTAGAAAACAGGTGATGGGTTCTTTCACCACGACGACGCCTCTGCCTACACCGTGCTGAGTGTTCAGCTGTTTTTGACCAAAAACAGCATGACCTCTAGACCCCACCCTCCCTGTTCACCCAGTCTTGCTCTAAGCACCTTTCTTGGTTTGTTTGTTTTCCTGGCTGAAAAGAAAAATGTTTCCTCAAAGGGAAATGTCTTGCTGATGTGGAAGAGGTGAAACCAAAAAAAAAAAAAAAAAATCGGCAGAAGCACTAAAAGACACATTGACAAGTTCATAACTGTTTCGAGCATCTCAATAGATGCATTCCATCAAATGGAGAGTACTTTGAAGGTGACTGAAGTTTAAATATGTAAGAACAAATATTCAATTTTTAAATAAATAAATTCCGATTCTGGGGTCCCCTCAGACCGTCAAAGAATTAAAAATCAAAGATAAAAAATCATATATACATGTGCAAAGATGGGTCAATGCCAGCTTTCTACAGCCATATTAGTGATCAATTTCAAATGTTTGGCTTCAAAAGCTAGATCTTGGTCAAAATGTTCAAGTTTCAAAATTTAGAAATTAATTACTGTGATTACAGCCCCCATACACACACAATAAACTAAAGTAATTAAACATAATAGCATATAAAAGAAGCAAACAGAAAAGAATGGATATATGGATAGACAGACGATGGGCAACACATTGAGCAAGAAACTCAGCATGCGAATACTGTGTGAACCTTTTACCACAAAACCTAATACCAAGGGAAAATGGGCAGGCATTAGATTTGACATGCTCTTAAAACTCTGCCAAGATATGCCAAAGCATTTCTAGGACTCAAGTTTGCATCAACCTTTTATTATTTTTAAGAGAATATTTTCTTATGATTTCAGTTCAAATATACGTATGAGGCACCCATCTCAGCTTAGACTTACTGTAAAGATGGGTTATTGTTAAAATTGGAAGGGAAAAGTAGCATTCAGGGGAAGTAATAAAAAGGAGCTGGCATCCGACCACGTCCCATTACAGAATTATGCTTGGCAAGTCCAAGTGCAGAGTTTTAAGTTTCACACAGTTTAAAGGGACATGATCTCAAATATTCAGAGTCAAGGTTCATTCTCAAAGAAAGCAGCCAGAAAATGACTGGCTACTTTTATAGTCCTGTTTTGTCCCAATAAGGGCCATTTTCCATATCGAAGTAAGCACAACAAACCAAGTCCTAAACTTTGACTCCCTTCTGTGATTTAAAATATGGTTCTACGGTACCTAGGCAGAGGATTCAAAAGTCATTTGTCACAGGCTATCAGAAGAAGATTGTTAAAGGTATTAATCTGTGCAAAATTATTTCAAGTGCAATTCACACATTCTGATTTTATACCCTTTTACCAGTTGGGAGTTGGTCTGCCCTAGGCAGGGGGCAGAAGGGTTTTCCCAATTAAGCTTTCCTAAGCCAATCCTGGATTTTAGATGTCTTGAGATATGGGAATCTCCACACCCCAAGACAGCATTAGTCATCTTTATGAAATACAATATTTTTCAGGGAACACTGACCCTCATTGTCAAAGGACTCATTCTTAAACAGGAAGCAACAAGAAAAAGAGGAAATGGAATCTACTTTAATTCTCTTACATTCTCTCGGAATACCTGGTGTCTCAGACGATCTCCAGAGAGCCCTCGGTGTCCTTCTCCACAACCATAGGCACACCCCAAAGACTTCACTATTTTGATGAGCATGGTTAGAGCAAGCCTATGGTTGCTTACAGGTGTACTTTCATCCTAGTACCCACAAACAAGAAAGGAAGTCTGTTTACTTTGCCACAGAGGTCATTTTGTTACTGAGATTCTGCTGTATGATCCAATCAAGTTGACATGTTTTACAGTGAGCATCAGCAATTTGGAAAATAAAGTTGTCGAGGGCTCCACAAACATGCTCAACTTTCTAAATTCTAGTGTGTGATTTGAAAGAAAGAAAGAAAAAAATCTATGCATTTTGAACACCCTCTGGTGCTAGAGAATATAAATATAGATCTGTTTATTAGAAGATATGCTTTTATATCCTTGACTGACTGTCAGAATAACTTTCCAAAGACAGCCAGTTGGGACTATCAGTGATGAAAGCAAATAGGTTTTCTGAGAAACTACCTTTATCCTCAGGTTTTTGATAATACCACCAGGCAAGGACTACTGCTAAATTTCTGGAACTGATCAAATTCTGAACCTTTCTGACATTTTTTAGGGCTACTGAAAGTTGTATACTCTCACTGTATTGTAGTACACATGCACACACAAAATGAGACTATACAGAACTTTATTCAGCTTGATTCTCCTCTTGAGACTAAATAGGAAGTCCTTGTGAGATGAATTATGAGAATTGATACCATCAGATGTTCACTTTTGTCCCATTTAATCCTTATTGTTAGCGAAGAACATGACTTCCAAAAAAGGAACTCCCTTGAATTATTTCCAAAGAAGCATAAGGAGGCCGTTGCTAAGGAATGATGCGGAGCCCAGTGTGGGAGAGCCATTTTCTTTGGGAAGCCACAACTTGCCTCCGTCCTAGCTGCATTCTGCCCAGTTTATGGTTCACACCATAAACCTGGGATTCCAACTCCCAGTCCTTCACTGCAGATGCTAAATAAATCTGTTAACTAATCTCTTTGCATTTTAGCTTCCTCATCTGTGAATTAAGGATCCCAAGAGCTGCCCTTCCTCCTCCAAAGGTTTACTCTGCAGAGCAAATGGAATAACGGATAAAGATTGCTCTGAAAATTGCAAGGAATGTTTCCATAGTCACATGATCAGACTGACACAAAAATGCTAGAAACAGACACAGAGAAATGAAATGTGGGTAAAAAGTGTAAAAAGGATAGTAGGTTATTATCATGTGACTTAATGTGGTAGGGTTGACTCTCTCCTCCCTCACACTATCTAATTCATCCTCCTTTTCTTGTCTCTAAGTTCTTGTAGTGGATGTAGTGCCGTACTCCAGAGATTCACCCATTAGCACCAAAGCATCCATCCTCTGAGCTGTTGGAAGTGTTGATAGCTGACAGCTCTCAGTTCAGTGCCTCTCTAGGCTTGCCTCCAGCCACAGACTGTCTTGCCCACTATTATGCTCTCTTCCTGGAAGTGGTCTACCTCCAATGACTGGTCAGGACCATAAATGGGGCAAGGAGTGTTCAAAAGGTCACTTGGGTACTACTGTGAAAAGCCCAGCTCCAGAGCTCCCTGTGTCATGAGCTTCGGTCTCTGTTGCAACTACATGTCAGTTCAATGTGTTCCTCTGCCTCAGCCTGCTGCTTTTATGCCTCATAAAGGTTGATCCTGAGAGGACATCTCAGTACATCTGCACAGATAGCTTCATGTCTGAGTCTGTTTCTGGGGAAATCTACTTAAGACAGCTCAGAAGATTGCAAATAGAAGACTCAAACTTATCAAGACTCAAACATTAGGGGAGAAGAAAGTCAACCCTACCACATTAAGACACACGGTAACAATCTCACAGTATCCCTTATTCTGAATATATACTTATCAAATATCCTTTATTTAAAATGCTTGAACCAAAAGTGTTTTGGATTTCAGACTTTGGAATATAAGCACATACATGAGATCTCAGGGACAGAGTCCAAGCCTAAACACAAAATTTGTTTATGCTCATATAGACCTTATGTGCAGACTGAAAGTAATTTTATACAATATTTTAATAATTCTGTGTATGAAACAAAGTTTTGACTGCATTTTGACTTCTACTTGTTACATGAGGTCAGATAAGGAATTTTCCTTTTGTGGTGATATGTTGGTGCTCAAGAAAGTTTCAGATTTGGGGAGCATTTTGAATTTCAGATTTTTTTATTAGAAATGCTCAACTTCTTTGCATGCATGTGTGTGTGTGTGTGTGTGTGTGTGTGTGTGTGTGTGTGTATGCCATGTGTGTACACACTATTTTTCATTTTTTAATTTAAAAATTAAATTTTTTAAATTAAAAAAATTTAGTTTGAGTTCAGATCTTAGCTCCAATATTTACTATTACTAACTGTATAACCTTGGGCAAGCTACTTAACCAATCTGTGACCTACAAGATGAGAATCATAATAATACCTTCTCACAGAGTTGTGAGAATCAAATGAGTCAAATCATGAAAGTTACAAAATAATAGCAAAACAAATGCTTATTATTATTTTTAAGTGTGGGGCACTGCTATTTTCAGGGGCGCTTTCTGAAAATTATAAAAGGCACCATTTTGGGTTGATAAATTAGAAGAAGGCGAGCCCCTTGGGTAGATGCAGGCATTGTATGGTCCAAGGAAGAGTGTTTGGACTGGATTTCAGTCCTCACTGGTTCCCTTAATGAAGGGCCTCTGTGTAGTGTACGGATCACAGAGCCATATGGTACATCAGAAAGATCTCTCTGAGCAAGAGTTTATTTGGAAAATGGCTTACATACATTTTTAAGATTCTCCAGCTCTGAAAAAGCTCTTTGTAAATACCTACAGGCTTTTATTTCTTTAGACCTTCACATGTCCTTGGGATTTAGGTAGCTCTCATAAGAGATATTCAGAAAGATGTATCCAGTTATAGGCAAAAAAAAAAAAATCACAGATATTAAGTAACATTCTAAGCTCTCAGTATAAATATAGAAATGGAAATTAGATCTTCCTTTTTGTCTTAATCAATTCCTATGCTTCTGTTATTACTAAGTTGCAAAGTTAGGTAAACTCTCCAATTCCGCTGAAAAGAACAGATTGGTTTCGGGCAGAACACACCCGTGTGAATCATAAACACAAGGCACTTGACCCACCATCAGGTTTTATTTTATAAATTCTTTGTACTAAAAAGAATGTTATTTTGAGAACTAACTACAAAACATTTATATCTTGGTTGCTGCTTTGGAGACCACACAATCTGACTTTAAAAAGTCCCATACTGATCAAAAGTTGTAACTTTGGTCAAAATAACATTTATGACATCAAGTTATAGTATCTAAGATAATATTTGAATTTTTTCAATAGTCAACAGATTTGTAGGTTTTCAATAAACATTAAATAAAAATACTACTTGAGGAAAATTTTAGAACTAAAGGAAAAACTGGAAGAAAAAAAAAACACTAATGGCCTCGCACAATGGTTCACAACTATAATCCCAGCAATTTGGGAGACCAAGGTGAGAGGATTGCCAGAGCCCATGAGTTTGAGATCGGCCTGGGCAACTTGGTGAGACCTCATCTCTACAATAAATCAGAAAATTAGCTGGGTATGATGGCACATGCCTGTTGTTCAAGCTACTTGGAAGGCTGAGGCAGAAGGATTGCCTGAGCCCAGCAGGTCAAGCCTGCGGTGGCCGTGAGTGTGCCACTGCACTCCAGCCTAGGCAACAGAGTGAGACTCCAACTTAAAAAAAAAAAAAATACACCAATAATGAACTTCAGAGACCTTTAGCATACATAAGAAAATCCTCATTGCTTTTTGTGGAATATTTAAACTTTACTGATAAAAATTTATCAATATTTCATAATTTTCTTTTATTTTTTATTTCTAAATTGCATTGAATATTATAATGGACACAATACTATCTATAATCTCTTTAGATGACCAGACAATAGGTGGTGAATTGATAGGTGAAGAATGGAAGTTCATTAAGAATCCCACCAGTTTTGCTGTATTTGTAAATTTGGTCTTTATGACTTGTATTTGTTTGCTAATTTCTACATTGCTGTAAACCAAATGATTCCTTAGACCTTAGGATCCATGATCAAATCTCTTGCGATGTATACCATTATTTAGATAATTTTCATCTATGGCGAGATCTGAAGATCTTTGGATTGTCCTTATATTGTGATATATGAGACGCTAAGACATTGAGAAACTTAAGCACCGATAGATTATTTTAGAATTGCAAAATATATGATTAAGGCAGGAGAAGAAAATCCTAAAGAAAAGGTTTGAGAACCCAATAATATTGGGGCAAGAGTATTTGGATCAGAATCTATGAATATTGGAAGACAGGAATAAATAAACACAGATGATAAACATTAAATATGCATCAAATGAAAAATTGTAAAAGAGGAAGGAGTACTGTAACACTCAGATGTAAAAATCTGACACCTTCTAAGAAAAAATGGACAATTTATAGTATATATAATATACATATAGATGGTAGAACTCTGCACAATGTAATCTTACATGTGTAAACGCTCGACATGATGTTTCTTATAGAGATTCAAATCTCTTCTTAATTTCAGTTTTTCATATAGTTTGCCAGCTAAAACCCCAAGTGGAAATTAGTGTAAGTTATGAGAATTTAAGCTATGGCAATTTTTATTTAAATTAAATTAAAGAAGAAAATCAATTCTTAATGTTAAGTGCAGAGATCATAAAACAGATGTTGACAAAGCAGAGGAAATTTCATTTAGGAACAATTCACAATAGGAAGGCTAAAACCTTTTGTATGAAACACATCAAGACACAAAAGGACTAAAGTTTAGAGAGTTCTTCACATTCCAAACCAACACCAAGTAAAACAACCACCTAATGAAACAAAATTTTTCTATTGCTCTCTCCCTAGCTGTGATTGAAGTTGACTGTCAAAAAAGTATTACCTAAATCAAGAGAAAGAACTTTCTAATGAGGACAAATTATACTGCCTGTTATAGACTGTATATTTGTGTACTCCCAAAATGTATACGCTGACATCCTAACCCCTCAGTCTGATGGTATTTGGAGACAGATTTTTGGGAAATAACTAGGACTAAATGAAGTTATTATGATGGTGGGGCCCTGGTCCAATGGGATTAAGCCCACAAAAGAAGGGAAGCAAAGAAAGCTCTCTCTCTCTCTTTCTCTCTCTCTCTCTTCCCCCTACCCGTGTGTGTGTGTGTGTGTGTGTGTGTGTGTGTGTGTGTGTGTGTATTCACAGGAAGAGGTCATGCGAGCACACAGCAAAATCACAGTCACCCACAAGCTACAAGAAGAGACCTCAGAATAAAATCAAACCTTCCAACACCTTGACCGTGCACGTCTCACCCTCTAGAACAGTGAGAAATAAATTTCTCTTGTTTAAGTCACTCAGTCTATGGTATTTTGCTATGGTAGCCTGAGCAGACTGAGACACCACTCAGGTCAGAACGGTGTGCCTGAAACATTCTGCAGAAACAACATGACTAGAGTCTAAGCTCTACCACTGCTTGGATGGCAGTGGCTTTTGGATTTAGAACACAGATTGATCTGTTTCTACTAAGGCTTGCTGAGAATCTAACAGAGCAATTTCTACACTTGGCAATTTCTTGGTGCTGCTCCAGCGTCAGTAAATCCCCAGCAAGGGAGCACCGGGAAGAAGTTAGGAGCACCATTTCGCAGGGACACAGAAGGTGTTTCAGTCATACCTTCTCTTGGTTCTTCTCATTCTTCTCGTAAGGGCCTCCTCCACCTCCTCCTCCACCTCCTCCTCCATCTCCCCCTCCTCCTTCTTCTCCTCCACCATCTCCAGCTCCACTAACCGCAGAGCCCCCGAATCCACAGGTGGAACTTCCAGATACTCCTTTGAACTGGAAAGTCCCCTCACTTGGTCTTTTTTCCAAAGTCTCATTTTCCTTGTTTTCACACTTCTTTCTATTCTTTTCCACACAGGGTACCACACCCAGTTGAAGCAGGCATTCCACAATGCTTAGTGCCACATCGCAGATGCGGGAGCTGATGTCATGGTTAAGGACAAGATAGACAGCCTTCAGAACGACCTGGGTTGGGGGGGACGATAGACAGAAGATAATTAAGATGCCTGCCTTTCCTCTTCCTAAATACATTTGGTTATTCTGGCTTATGCTGTTTAATCCATTTCCTTGGGCCACTCTATGTATTTGGGTATGAACAATCCAGACAGTTTTCAAATTTTCCTAAGTTGCATTAGAACCTTGTGTATGTGCTCAATATAGAGTATACATCACACAAAGAATAAAAAATATTCATGTGTATTATTTCTTTTTTTCTTTTTTTGAGTTGGAGTCTCACTCTGTCGCCCAGGCTGGAGTGCAGTGGCCGCTCCCGGCCACCGCTGCCTCAACCTGCTGGGCTCCGGAGATCCTTCCGCCTCAGCCTTCCAAGTAGCTGGAACTACAGGCATGCGCTACCATGGCCGGGTGATTTTTGATTTATTGTAGAGATGAGGGCTCGCCAAGTTGCCCAGGCGGGTCTTGAACCCGCGGGCTCAGGCAATTCACTCACTTCAGCCTCCCAAAGGCGCAGGGTTACAGGCTGAGCCACCGAGCCCGGCTCATGTGTATTATTTCACTTAAGTCTTTCAAATCCTCCATGACATAGATAGCTAATGTGCATACTAAAGGACAGTGAGTTAATGAGAGTAATTATTTGCCCAAATGGAAACTTGTTCAACCAAGTTTTTAAATTAAAGTGCTCTAATCCTTTTTCATTTGCTATCAACAATAGATAAAAGAACAATGATTTCCTTTTGCTCCTAATAAAGGAACATTTTCTCATTCACAATTGTATCATTATTTACACTTCAATATTAAGTGCAAAATATTTGCATGTTTAAATTATGTCCTCTTTTTGATTTTGATATTTTAAATCATTTTCTAAACCAGGTTTCCTAATGTGCAATAAACATTTTGTGAGATATAATTGTAAGGTATAACAACCCTTATATTTGCTAATAACTATACTCAAGATAGGCACTTTAGAACACAAGCTTAAAACTTTTCAGAACTTCTGTTAATTTTTTTCTAGCTATGCAGGGGGTTTGTAGTCCTGTTGCTTATATTACAAAAGAAAATAGGCAAGGAAATGTTTACTCTCATTCCAGAAAAAAGGGACACAGCAAACACATACACAAATGTATATTTATATATGTACGTGTATTCAGGATTCACTAATGTCTTTGGATTAAAAAATATTCTGAGATCAGATCAAATCAAATGCAATGCTTGAAAAAAAGGAAAAGGTGCATCTATGATGGTTGGCACATTTGTGCAATTTTTTTGTGCGGGTAGCTTTTTCATTTTAAGCTTCAACATTTCTAAGATTCTAAATGCCCAATTTCTAAGACTCTAAATGCCTCTCAACACTGTAAAAATTACACTAAAGGGTCAATATCTTTCCAGCTTTAGTAAGAAAATTCTTGCTTCTTACAGAAAGATCAAGCATTCCATTTTTGTGGACAAAGTTATTGGTCCCATCAATATGTTCTGTGTCCTCCAGGTAGCTGTAGTTTATGCAGGAGTCTGTGAGACTTCGAGGCAGGTTTGCACAGGCCAGGGGTTCGTGTGGCATCTCTGGGATAGGCACCTGGTTGCAGAGCTTCCTCATATGCTCACTGAAAAAGTCTGCGTAGCCTACATTGAAAGACGCCAACGTGGTATTGAAGGTCGCAACTGTAATCGTAGAGATCTGGGATCGCACTAATCAAATGAAAGCAATATCTTAGTTTTCCTATATTCATCTGCAACATCCATTAGACAGTTACGCCATTATTTAAATCACAATCACAAGCTTTTGTAGATGTTTGACTTACAGTCTCAATGCTAACTGGCTTCCTTAAGGCAGCAGTTAGAATTTCACTTTCATCTAACAGTGACTGAATTTAATTGGTCCTAATAGGTGACTTTCACCCACTGTTAGATGACAGCCCATATTTTTATAATATTTGTTTTCATTCAGTGTATTAAGGGACAAGAAGCAAAAAAAAAAAAAATTTCCCTTTGGTTAAAAGGAATGGAACATAAATCAGTGGTGGTAACTAATAGATGTCATTGAATACTTGAAATACAGTTCAGGGCAGAGAGGTATTAAATGTATGCGTCTATGAGTAAAGAAGAAAAATAATCAATTATTCTGTTATACAGAACGAGAATCTATCTTGGATTCCACCCAAAGACACATGTTTGCTCCATATAAAATACATAAAGCACTTTCTAAAATAGAAGCTGTCAGAAAAAAAAAAATCAGAAGCCTTGGAAGGCATAGATGTTTCTCCCAGTGAAAGTGTACAAGCCCCACAGAGGGCTGTCGTAGGGGACTCGAGATGTCCTTCCAGGTCTCTCGTAGCCCTGTGGGTCCATGACCTTTGGAAGATAAACACAAATGGCTTCTCCTTGCTCTCCCTCTGAGAGTTTTGGTGTCCACAGCATGGTGCCAAACAGCTTTTGCTCCTAAAGATGGGCTATGAACGGCCAGTGAGTCAATGACCAATATAATATGAGAATATACGTTTTCAAAACACTAAGGGAGCAGATTACAATGAAAATGGAACACGGTGTAAGAGCAAGAAACGAAAAACAGGAAACGAGATCTGAACTCCTGCCCTCAGGTCTCACCTCCTACCCACCTTCCTTGACGGTGTTTTCTCCGTGGCTGTTGGAGGGGTCTGGCAGGTCGCTCATTAGGGTGTGGTGGGAGTGGGAGTGCCGGGCGCTAAGACTCTCCATCTCAGTGGCTGCATCTGAGCTGCCCCGCCGGGTCAGTTTCCCTGGAACAAACAAGAGCATCCAACAAGAGGGTTTCAAAATATGAAAGGTCCTCTGCCGAGATTTTTGTCTTTCTCAAGGACAGCAGTCAGAATGAGGGGCCATTAGAAAGAGCACGAGACACAGCCAAAATAGCAAGAATTGAACTTGCCTTGGGGATATTCAGGGGCAGAATGATTGATGCAGTTGCCTGTGATAAGGTCAGCCCCAATCTAAGCCAAATGTCAGAAACCATCTGGTGTGGCCCAGCTAGCTGTCAGCTCCCGAGTTTAAACTAGCCTTCTTAATATGCCATCCGGAAGGGAAAAAAATATATTTTCCTTTGCTTTGCTGCGGCCTTTTTTTTTTTTTAACATCAGAGTTAAACAAAAGATTCACAATGAAAGTTAATGCACAAAGCCTTCTAAGATCGTGTTTCTACATCTAGAGTATTCTAAGAAATAGGACTGTTACCTTTCTAATTATGCAGAATTCTTGTATAATTAATTCAATGATCTGCACTTTTTTTTTTTTTTGGCTGTGAAGACACAGCATGATTTTGGTACTGCAAGGGGGGAGCCTACATTTGGGTTCGAATGTTGGCTGAACTGTTCAAGAAAGATTCAGGTTGCCTGTGAGTCCTCGATTCAGTCCTAAAACGGTCACTCAAGCCTTGCTCTACTCTGGGAGTCCTTTGCAGTCACTTAAAATGGTGATTTGCCAGCCTCCTTTTTACTTTTCTAATTATGCAGAATTCGTGTATAATTAATTCAATGATCTGCTTTTTTTTTTTTTTGGCTGCGAAGACAACAGTATGATATTAGTACTGGGGAACCTGCATTTGGGTTCCAAATTCTGGCTGAACTGTTCAAGAAAGATTCAGATTGTTCAGGAGTCCTCGATCCAGTCCTAAAACGGTCACTCAAGCCTTTGCTCTACTCTGGAAGGTCTTTGCAGTCACCTAAAATGGTGGTTTGCCAGCCTCCTTTTTCAAGGCTTCGCCTGTCTTCTCCAAGCCCAGAGAAACTCCCGAAGGAGAATGTGCTGCGGGTGGGAGACACATCCAGGTGGTCCTCGTGAAGGAGGAAAGGCACTCCCATTCTCCGCGGCCTCCTCTTCCCCGTGTGATGGAACGGAATGGAGCCTTTCCTCTCTCGGTCATCTTTGCGGCTCTTGAACTATGGTGACAAGACATGTACGGTTAGGCACAAGGCAAATGTGCAGCTACAGTTTTTTTCCCCCCAAGGGGCTCCATGATCTGCAGTAAAATTCAGAAAATGCTGCAGGTAGAGGAGACTCAGAATGTCACTCAATATCATCAAATTGAAATGGGAGAAGTATCCACCATGCTAAAAGAGTGGAAGCAACTAAGCAAAAGGTCACACATTCCATGAGTCTTTCTGTTGGATTGGGTTACACTGGTGGCTCTCAAAGCGTGGTCCCTGGACCAGCAGCATCAGCATCACTTGGGCACTTGTTAGAAATGCAAACTCTCAGACAAACTGTATCAGACCCTAAGAAGGCAAGGCCAGCAACGTGGGGTTTATTTGTTTGTTTGCCTTTGTTTTTAATTGAGTCGGAGTCTCACTTCATTTCCCAGGCTGGAGTGCAGTGGCACACTCACGGCCACCCCAGCGTTGCCCTACTGGACTCGGGTGATCCTTCTGCCTCAGCCTTCCAAGTAGCTGGAACTACAGGCACATGCTACCTCACCCAGCTAGTTTTTTTTAATTCATTGTAGAGACGAGGGCTTGCCAAGTTTCCCAGGCTGGTCTCGAACCGTGAACTCAAACAATTCTCTCACCTCAGCCTCCTAAAGTGCTGGGATGACAGGTTTGAGCCACTGTGCCTGGCCCAATGTTTGTTTTAACAAGCTCCATAGGTGATTCTGATGCACAGTAAAATTTGCAAGCCACCAGACAAGTTAATGATATGTTCTCTGTTCTTCAATGACAAAATTAAACTAACAATTTTGAAAAAGAGAATCAAAACCACTACTATATATTAGTCTACACATATTATTTTCTATTTGATTATTTCCATATACTTATCAAAAAGATAGGTAGGATGATGGAGTTAGAAGAGCATGAACAGCCAGGCGTGGTGGCTCAAGCCTGTCATTCCAGCACTTTAGGAGCCTGAGGCTAGTGGATGCCTGAGCCCGTGGGATTGAGACCAGCCTGGGCAACTTGGTAAGGCCTCATCTCTACAAGAAATAAAAAAATTAACCGGGCATGGTGGTGCACGCCTGTAGTTGCGGCTACTTGGAGGACTGAGGTGGAAGGATTGCCAGAGCCCAGCAGATCAACACTGGGGTGACTGTGAGTGTGCCACTGCACTCCAGCCTGGGTAATGGAGTGAGACTCTGAATCAAAAAAATAAAATAAAAAATAAGCCAGGCGTGGTAGCGCACGCCCGTAGTTCCAGCTACTTGGAAGGCTGAGGTGGAAGGATCACCGGAGCCCAGCAGGCCGACGCTGTGGTGAAACTGTGAGCATGCCACTGCACTCCAGCCTGGCGCCACAGTGAGACTCCAACTCAAAAAAAAAAAAAAAAAAAAAAAAAAGACAAGCATAAACTATTTAGCTAGATTTACCTTTAAGTTTGGGCTCAAACTTTGGCAGACCACCTAAAGTTTCCAAACTACCTAAGTTTCCATTTCTTATCTGCAAAATGGGCAGAATAAGGACCTCACTGCATTACATGAGAACTAGCTACATAAAGCACTTGATTAAATGAGTTGAGCCACACACGCGTAAATTACCGTTATTGCTACCATACCTACCTCCGCCACCACACTATGTCAAGTGCTTTGCGCACAATATGAGGGTCGAGCTTCATAGCAACCCTGTGGAACATCTAGAACAGGAAACACTCAGACACACAGAGGAACCCGCACAGGGTCATGCTGCAAGACCAGCGTTACGGCCAGGAGCTGACTTCTGGGCTTCAGGGTACTTTCCCACCCCACCCCATATTGCTGTATGAACAGAAACACCTCCTGACCCACTGACATCTCAAAATTACCAGAGTATCGAAGAGTATAAGCAGCTTTGCTCACCTTCTTAAAAATGTTCATGCCCAGGTCTGAAGAAAGATCCGGGACTGCAGACCTACGCAGATTGGTCAGCGAAACCTTGGAAAAGGCCTCGGGGCTGAGAGATTTTTCCTCCTCGTTACACTTCATGGTGAGATCCTTAATAAAGGTAAACGATAATCAGACTTAAGACTTGATATCCACATATGGTTCTTATTGAGATGTCACATTTTAAATAGGGATATGCCTGTTGTTTTGCTATCTATGAAGTATTCGATTTGCATATCTGGATTTTTAGACTCCATATTCTGCTAATGAGAAGATGTATTTCATATTAATTCTAACCTGTGCTTGGAGTTTCTAGCAGTGAGGCCATGCTGCCCCAGATCTAGAATGCTGAGAAAGTAGGAAGATGAATATCTTTTTTTCAATTATTAAAAAGAGTGTTTTTCCATTTATGGATTCAGCAGGAGATCTGCTTTGGACAGAATATCCAGTACTAAAACAGAGCATATTTATTTTCACTCTGATATGGCTCATATTTATTTTCAGAATATGCAGAACAATTTTTCAGACCCAGCCAATTCACATTTAAACACAAACAACCGGAACATACTACAAGTCACATTTTCCTCTACATTTTCAACACATGGTATTGATGAGAAAGAGGGAAAGAACAAGAGTTTAAACTGATATTAGGACATTCATTTCTCAAAAAGCAATTTTCATGGGGATGTCAACACATCAATACTCATTCAGCTCAGTTCTCAAAAAAAAAAAATAGCAAGACTATGAGAATGCAGTATTTGTAATGATGACATTGGAAACCTGGAAAATTGTGAGTAATGCAAAAAGGGTTACATTATGTACAGTAAAATGCTAGTATCACACATTTTATGATGTTGGTAATCAACAGATTAAAGGTCAGAACTCTCTATTAATAGTACTTTGATTATCCAGGAGGCCCAATCTTCCACTCTTCTGGATAAACAGAAGCTTTTACTAAATTAGCATGGCAAGAGGTACACTTCTTCAAATAGTAAATTAAGTGCTAAAGAGTAGTAAAGAGTCTATCAGTGAAAACAGAAAGGACGACAGCAAAAGAGTAACCCACCAACCAATAGTCAGCACTGGAGTACGTAAGAGCTGCACATACAGAGAAAAACAGATAATCTGTTACGACCAAAGTTGTTGATTCAAATGACAACGGACTGAGTTTCTCTTACTTGGGTTTTGTGAGTGTTCACTAGTGAGGGAGCGGCCGCCACCATAGAGCTACTCCTGGGTCTGGGCAGAAGAGGAATATCTGGCTCTGGAGGTTTTTCTGGCTTCTCTTCTAGCATGTGTCTCAGTCTTTGCAGATAGTACATCAGAGACCACTGAGTGCCTTCCTCAGACCAATGGGGCTGAAGTAGGCAGCGGAGAACAGCAATGTCAAAGTAGGTGGCATAGCGGGACCTTTGGCATGGAGGTATCACAGGAGAGGACCTGCACCCAACGGCAGAAAGAAAGCGATCACATGGGCAGTCAAGGCTTCCAAGGGGCTTATCGCTCTACTTTTCTCATTCATTCATTTATTCATTCACTTGTTCTTGTCTGGTTTACCCTACTATCCTCTTAGCTGGTCTCGCTCATTCTCTTTCACCAAACATTTCCCGAAAGTAGAGAAGTGGAAGGTTTTGAAGAATGCATAGGAATTAGCCAGGCAAAGTTGAGGGTAGGGTAGGGAGGTGGATTGGCATTTCAATCACAGGGAAGAATGCCTCCAAAGATATGAATTTTTAACCATCCTGAGTTTGAGTGGGAGATCATAAATAATTGGTATAATTAGTGAGTAGTTTAGGTGGGGGACAATGAGAGTGAGAGTTACAGAAATAGATGAGGTTCAGATCATAATGCCTCTTTGACATTAAATCAGATTTGACTTTTACTCCAATAAAAATAGGAATGATATTTGTCTTGCCTACTTCATTGTGCTATTTTAATTTTAATTGCGAAGATACTGTGTAAAAATACTCAGGAAGTTGCAAAATGCTAAACATACAAAAAATGAAGAAAATAAAATAATTTTGAAAATTCTACAGTTACATGTCTTTGTAAGGTAGCAAAACTGATTTTTATAAAATCTAAGTTTCTGTAATTCTATTATTCAATTTAAAACACACGAGAGGGGATGATACCAAGATGATGTTGAGGGCAGTTGGAGTGCATGAGTCTCTGCAAAAATGAGTGGGCACAGAGACGAATAAGCATGCAAGTGTGTTGGCAAATTGGCTGAGTGGGAATGCAGAAACAAGCAGCCTGAGCTCTTCTGCGGAGGCAGCTGCCCCACCCAGCTAGTTGGATCCCAGTGCACTCCATGGCCCAGACACAGGCACCATCTCTGCAACCAGGAGAAAGTAGGGAAAAACACCCACTGCTGGTGCTGCCTGCCACCACAGCCTTCGGCACCAGATCAGACATTGGCAGAAGGGACTGTAGAGAAAATACACCAGAGATACTAGCCACCACCGAGTCCCAGTGGAAGAAAAGATACAGAGATATCCCTCCCGCATTTGTCCTGATAACTGGGGGAAGACAGGCTCTGGTCTGCCCCCATGAGCAATGGAGCTACTCCCGGAGACTGAGGAGTGAATTCAGCACCTCTCTGAGACTGATAACTGCTAACCCAAAGAGGATAACCCAGGTGCAGTATCCCCAGAGGGACGGGCCCACTGAGGAGACCCAGGTGCCCTATCCCCCTAACTGAAACATTTGCTGGTCTATGGCTGCAACTGAAGACAAGGAACCCAGCCCACAGTGGATGAGTGGCAGTGAGTTTTAAGTGACCCAGCTCCCTTTCCCCAACAATTTGCCAGGTAAATGATACAGGTAGGAAGCGACCTGATTGGCACATGCGGAGAGGGCTAAACACAACTGGATCAGTTGGGGGTGGTTCACAGGCTACCCTAACTGACTACATGGTGAGCAGGCGGGCAGATTTAGAGGATGGAACTCTCTCCAGTCTGCCGCCAACCAAGAGCAGTGGTGTTTGGGTCACGCCTACAACGAACCTGAAGTTTCAGAAACTGCCACAAGAGGGCTTGCAAGGATTACAAGAGTTTGTTGGGTTTTTTTTGGTTTTTTGTTTTTCCTTTTCCCCCTGCTCTTTCTATATAGTTTGTAGGGGATGTGTATTTCATTTTGTTTTATTCCTTCTCCTTCTTCTTTTTTCACATAAGGTATATATGAGTGTGAAACTCTCATATTGTCAGTTTTAGTTTTTTGCTTTCTCTTTTTTGCTAGTTTGTTTGTCTATCCATTGATTTGTTTTCCTTCTCTTCTTCATTCTCTTCATCGTCCTTTCTTCTTTCTTCTCTCCTTCTTAATTCCTTTCCTTTTCCTTATGTTCTTGTGTACCCAGGAGAGACACGTATGTTCCCACTGTGAGGGGGTGGGAAGTGGGTCTCCGGGAATCCAGACCTCAATCAGTAAGCATTGTATCTGCAAGCAGCTTTTGAATCTTAACACCCCCCAACACACCTTATTCTAATCTCAAAGTTGCAAAAGGACACCACAGCTCTCCACCCCCAACTTGGTTTCAAAATCAAAAAAATCCAGAGGTTTTATCAAAGGAAGAATAAGAGGCTGAGCAAAAAGAAGTAAAAACTACCCTCCCCACTGAGCAACGGAAGTAAAGAGAAAAGAAAAATCCATCATAAATGAAGAGAAATCAATGAAAAAACACAGGTACCCCACAAAGTCCAAAAAGGGTAGTGTGTGAGAATACAGACTTCAGAACTCAAATAGTGAAGAGCACAGAGACCACAAATCCAGAGATCAAGGAATGGTTGGAAAAGATGAATAAGAACCAAGAAAGGCAAGATGAAAATATGAAATAATTACTTACTGAGATGCAAGCTATAAAGAATACAGTAAATGAAATAAATAATAATCTGACAAGCATGAAAAGTAGAATTAACCAGGCAGAATAAAGAATCTCAGAGCTTGAAGACCAAAATATGGAATGAGCCCAATCTGGTAAAAACATAGAAAAGAAGCTTAAAAAGACAGAACAAAGCCTTCCAGAGATGTGTGATTATATTAAGAGCCCAAACTTATGCCTGATAAGTATCCCTGAAGCAGAAAAGGAAAAAGAAAGCAGCCTGGAACATTCCATGAGGTCATCCACAAAAACTACCCATATCTGATCAGAGATGTGACTGAAATAGGAGATAGCTAGAGAAAGGCTAGGCAGACAGACAGGTGAGTCCTCTGGTAACAATGCAGTGAACTCCTGGCAGGCCTGCCAGGCTCAGTGTTGGTAAACAACCTCCCTGCAAGCCTCTCAAGCTAAAACTTAAGTGCTCCCAGCTGGGATTGAAAAACAACCAATCAGCTTGCCATTAAGTCCCTACCTTAATACTGACCAACCAGAACAGCTAGAGCTCACAGCTAGTGCTAGCCAATCGGCTTGAACTTAGGACTATAGGAGCACCAGGTTTTCAGTCCCATTTGGGTAACCCCTTTGGGTCCCCTCTCACTGTGGGAGCTTCTCTGTCCTCTCAATAAATCCTGCTTTCTCACTTTCCGACTGTCGGCATCCCCCATTCTTGCTGGACATGAGACAAGAACCTCAACTCTGAAGAGCTGTGACCTGAGACAAGAACCTCAACCCTGAAGAGTTGCAGAAGATCATTGGAGCTGGCTGAACCAGGAATGCTGCCAGAAGAAGGCAAAACTCCGAAGCTGAAACACCTCAGGAACTAGGCTTGCCGGCGCACCATACCATCAACACTCTCAGAGCTTGGCTTGCCAGCCCATTAGACCTGACACTTCTGGGGTTAGGCTTACCAGCCCCTTGATGACCCTTTCTGGGGTTTGGCTGGCTGACTCATTGAACTGACACTCTTGAAGCCCAGGCTGACCTGAAAAATCTGCATCATGACCATTCAAACACAAGACATTCAGAGAACCCATGCAAAGCATCAAATGAGAAGACCAGCTCCTAAACACATAGTAATTCACTTATACAACAACATAGGCATAAAAGAAAAAATACTAAAGGCAGAAAGAGAGAAAGGTCAGACTACCTAATGGAGAAGACCAATTAGAATAGCCACAGACTTATCTATAGAAAATACATAGGCTAGAAGAGACTGGAGTCCAATCTTCAAAGTTCTCAAAGATAAACAATTCCAATCAAGAATTTCCTACCCAACTAAGCTAAGCTTCATCAGTGATGGAGAATTGTAATCCTTCTCAGACATTCAATCCTAAGAGTTTATGTGATCACACACACCCAAGAATGCAGGAAAATAGAGAATCAACACACCATGCATCATGATTGCAAATTTGAAAACACACACACACACACACACATATATATGTATATATATGTATGTAAATATATATACATATATATACATACACATATATATATACATATACATGTATATCCCCAAATCAAAAGAAAACCACCAAACAAATAAACAAACAACAACAGAAACTCTGCAAGAGTCTCATGACAGGGATAAACTCTCACATCTCAATAATCAGTCTGAAAGTGTATGGACTAAATGCACCACTGAAAAGATATGGAATGGCAAACTGGATTAAAAAAACATGACCCATCAATATGCTACCTCCAGAAGACACGTCTCACAAGAATGGATACTCACAGCCTCAAAGTTAGAAGATGAAAAACAAATTTTCTGGCAAATGGAACACAAAAGAAAGCAGGAGTTGCAATCTTAATATCAGACAAAACAATCTTTAAGCTATCAAAATTTTAAAAAGATACAGAAGGATACTACATAATGATAAAAGGTTCAATCCATAAACAAGAAACAGTCATCATAAATATATATGCACCCAACAGAGGGACCCCAATTTTTATAAAGCAGCTACTAAGTAAACTAAAAAAAGACATTGACTCTAACACTATAATAGCTGGGGACTTAAATACTCTACTAACAGCTGGGCTCGGTGGCTCAGCCTGTAATCCCATGCCTTGGGAGGCTGAGGTGAGTGGATTGCCTGAGCCTGAGGGTTCGAGACCTGCCTGGGCAACTTGGTGAGCCCTCATCTCTACAATAAATAAAAAAAAATTAGCTGGGTGTGGTAGAATGCACCTGTAGTTCCAGCTACTTGGAAGGCTGAGGCAGAAGGATCGCCGGAGCCCAGCAGGTAGAGGCTGCGGTGGCCAGGAGCAGCCACTGCGCTCTAGTCTGGGCGACAGAGTGAGACTCCAACTCAAAAAAAGAAAAAATACTAACAATTCTAGATAGATCATTGAGGCAAAAAATCTACAAGGAAGTCTGAAACTTCAACTTGGCACTTGACCAAATTGACTTTATGGATACCCACAGAATACTCCACCCAACAAGCACAGAATATACGTTCTACTCATCATCACATGGAAAGTACTCCAAGATCTACCACATCCTCAGCTAAAAATCAAGGGTGGGGCATGGGGGTCAGGCCATTTTTTGGTCAAAAACTGCTAA